CCCTAGACACTCCGGGAATTTTGTTAGCTGTAAATGTGTTCTAACTCTGGTGGATAGAAGCCTTGTAACAGCAGGGCTTATGTTTGCTGTCAGTCCTATAAAGTTCTCCAAAGTGCTTAGTAAAGGAAGGTTGGAACTTAGGGTAGAACAAATACCATAAAGGAGGCAGGGCAGGTCTGTAGGATGCCAAGTCATTAAGCACTTCAAGTCACTGCCGCTTCCCCTTCAGGAAATTGGGTGAAATGGCTCCTGGGACAAGTTACCTGATTGCCCTCTAGAGGCCAAGCTTAGTACATAGGAAATACTGATAATGAGATCCCCAGACACAGAGAAACATCTTGCTTAGGAGGCTGCTGTGACAAGGGAGGAAGGTTTATACCAGAATCCAAGTGAATCATTCCTTCCTTGCACTTCTTTCTCCTCAGAGCTATCCCAAATGCGACCACACCCCTGGGGGCCCTTCATTGCTTGCGCCAATCCAGTCTCCAGGCTTCCTCCTTAGACATATGTCAGGGCTGTTTATACCTTTCTAGCAAAGGCACCAGGGGACAGCAAGCTGGATAAGGCAACTAACAGTGGAATGGGCTTCAACCATAGGGGTGAAGGTTAGAAATAAAGAGAACTTGTGAAACTCAGTGACGAATTTTTAAAAGGGGCGAGCAGTTTACATGTTTTCTTGTTTAATCATCACAGCAACCTTGTATGGTAGGTACGATTATTATCCCCACTTTATATTCAGGGTCTGAATCTTGCTGCTTGCAATGTAGGTCCCCTGGAGGAAGGTGTCTCAGATTCAAGGAACTCTATCGGTCAGCCTCCACTAAAATTTCAAGAAAGTAACAACCAGATGTGGGAGGATCTGGAAAGGATTCCTAAGAGGTGGAAACTGAGTTGTGCCTTGAAGGAAGCCAACATAGCTTAAAAGGCCCCTTATGTGACTACTACTAGTCAGCCAGAGTACAAAGTTGGTTCAAAGCAGTAATACGACAGTAATAAAATGACAGTAATAAAAGATTTCCCCTATAAACCTGAGGGCACACTTTCCCACAAATACACATACTATCAGTAGGAAGGATAGACACAGACAAGGAATATATATGGCAATAACACATTTGCAGAAAGTCAAATCACACCTCTATCACTGAACCGTGTTATCTGGCTTACTATTAAAAGCTGATATGGTCTAGTTATATCATTGCATTTCTCCTGCTGAACCTGATCCCTACTGATCTCCCCTGGGCATGCAGTCTATTGGATGTCTGCATTGGCTCCTGCTCTCCTGGATGCATAATGTCTGGTGGACGCTGCCAGGACCAGCCGCATGGGTCATGTGGGTGTAGAGTCAGCTTCCATTTTATGGTTTCAGTTGAAGCACTTGATTGTAAGACTATCTCTTCCTCATTAGAAGTCTGGGCTTCTATAGTATTTTTTACAGGTCTTTTAGGAAAACAGCAACCCTCAGCCAGACATCTAGCATTAGTGCAAACAGCCATAGAAATGAAATCTTCTCAGATTTTTTTTCAACCCTTATTATCTTGCTCCCTTCAAAAGCTAGGTTACTGAGATCTCTCATCTTGAGCAAGACAGTCTCAGCCTCTTGCTCCAAGCCCTTTAGAACAAAACTCTTTAGAACCAAGAACAGATATGTTTCTAGCTAATTAGTACTTTCAGGCTCTGGCATGTTTATTTTGTTTTGCTAAACTTCCTGGTTGCTGAGCCTTGGATCATCACAGGTGACCCCACTCTCTCGGTGAGCATTCCATATACCTTCTAATTTTAAGCTGTGAAGTCTAAAGTATACCTAGTCGTGAGCTTTTGTTTCAAATTATTTTTATAGCAAAAGAAAAGGGGCTCTAAATTCCTATGCAAGCGCTTAGGTATCTAAGACATCAAATACAGGGACAGGGTCTATTTAATCCAAGAAAAAAATTCATAGAATTCAGACATATAAACAGTTAAGACAACTAGCCTTCTCTCTCCACATTCCCAGGAGCACAAGACATATAATACTGCCGTAGGTGAAGTCCCCTACAAAGAAGACAAGAAGTTGGGGCTGAGCCAAGTAACTTACCGCTTTGGTGAACTTCACCCCTCATAGGGCTATAAAGTGTTATAGAACTTCTGACAAGTTTACTCCTTCCCCAGATCTGCAAAATTCCCATAATTCACACCATCAGTGAAGGGCAAGGTCTGTATAATGGCTCTGTCCTTTGCTGCTCCACAGCTTTGACTCCTCTTTGGTTCAGTGAATGTAGTCCAGTGAGAACAGAGCAGAAGAATGGAATGTTGACCGTGAAGCCTTAGACCCTTCTTAGGTGTGTGACTTTGAATAAGTCACCTCTCTATGCCTCAGTTTCCTCATCTGTAAAACACTCATAATAATAGCACCTATTTTATATGGTTTATCGAAAGGATTGAATGTAATAATGTTCTTTGCAAACATTAAAGTGCTATATAAGCATGAGCTATTGGTATTATTTTCTATTGGTTCCAGGATGATTGGTCAAGGAATTGGTCCATTGCTAGGGTCACATAGTTCCTCAGTTTCCAGAAAGGGTCACCTGGCTGTGCTTCGGTGAACCAATCCATATGCTACTGACTGGATTCTCTCTGTCCCAACTTCAGGCTTTTCATGCAGTCTCTCTCTTCATTTATGCCACCATGCTGTTTTTATAAAGGGCAAAGGCCAAAAGTGCTTGAAAAGGCTGTGTTTGCCTGGCCTTGAACCGCATCATTTAACTAATCAATTCCAATTCACATCAAAGAATTAACCGTGTCAAGAAAATGTTACGCTGTGCCAATGCCAGAACAGAGTCCTCATCAGTGGGCAATGACTCCCATCTGTGAGGATCTAGCCCCATTTCCTGGGCTCCAGTCTCAAAACTTTGGGGTCATCTTTGATCCCATCATCTCTCTTTCTCTCCCATATCAAGACCTAGTGTCATGAAGTTGGAGGACTTGTGTTCAAATCCTGAGCCTGCTGTTTGCTAGCTTGTGAAAATCACTTTACCTCATTAAGCCTCAGTTTATTGTAGATCAGCTACATGTTGCACATGTTATATTACACTTTCAACTCCAGTTAGGTAGGGCCCTCATTGAGGTGCCTAGAAGGGTTACCAAGCAATGTAAGCAGTTGCGGTCTAGGTCCTGCCTTTACCATCTATATCTGTATTGGTCTTAACTGGGTTATGGTGAAAGCATCCCAGGGATTCTTCAAATTTTGAGATAGAGTTCCCATATTCCTCCAATGTACATGGAGACATGAATTGCCTGCGACTCATGGAGCTTCTTCAGAGTTTCAGCAACATGGTCCTAGAGATAGGATGCATATGATGGGTATGTGCTGGCAGAAAGAAGCAAGTGTTAAGGGGGCAGCTAGGTGGCACTGTAGATATAGTTCTGGGCCTGGAGTTAGGAAGACCTGAGTTCAAATCCAGCCTCAGACACTTACGAGCTGTGTGAGCTTGGGAAAGTCATTTAAGCTCTGTTTGCCTCAGTTTCCTCATCTGTAAAATGGGGATAATAGTAGCACCTTCCTCCCAGCGTTGTTGTGAGAATCAAATGAAATTGTAGAGCACTTATCACAGTGCCTGGCACATAGTCAAGTGCTATGTAAATGTTTTTTATTATTGTTATGATTATGATTATTAATGGAGCTGCGGGTGAAGGTAGTTCTTCACGTTGTTGGAACCCTGCTAACCTTATGCTCTTGGGTCTTTAGTATCAAGGATGAGAAATGAAATGAAGTGCTCTTTTAGTCCTTCAGATTTAGCCTTTTGGTTATCTTCTTCCTAAAACTTCCAGCCCTCTTCTGGGACCCGGGGTCTCATGCCCAGCCTTGGTCTTGCCGCTCTACACTGGCTGTTATTCATTCTAGACAGGCAACAGGTAGAATAGCCTATATGTGCCTATATTTGGAGACGTATCTGCAAATACACATATGTTTATGCATGTTTTAGGGAAAGGGAGTTGGGAATTGTACATGTATAGGCATGTATTAACACCTTTCTCCATGTGTGCAGGTATGTAAAGGGATTCCTGTATAGGTCGTGTACAAGTGTGAGAGTGGGAAGGGTTATGGAGCCCTACCCCTACCAAATAATGAATCCATTCTACAAAATCCCCAACAAAGAATTAACCAGTCTCCACTTGAAGACCTTCCTTGACAAGGGGTTTTCTGCTTCCTGAGGCAGTTCATTTCATTTTTACATAGTTCTAATTATTAGGAAGTTTTCCCTTATATCGAACTAAAACCTATCTCCTTATGATTTCCACCCATTGTTCCCCTAGTTCTGCCCTCCATGTCTAAACAAAACAAATCTAATCCCTCCTTCCACATAAGAGCTCTTGGAATATTTGAAGCCAGCTATCATGCCTTTCCCTCCCCACAAATCTCTTCTGTAGCCTAAACATTCCCAGTTCCTTCAAGTGATTCTCATACGGAGGATTCTGGGCATGCCCTCCCCCACCCCCACTACTGTGGGAAAGTGTCTCAATCAGAGAAAGGAGTAGAAACCTGGAAGTTGAGGTCAAGCAGGGAAGCCAGAAGTGGAGTGAGCATTTCACAGGGGGTGTGTGTATGTGTGTGTGTGTGTGTGTGTGTGTGTGTGTGTGTGTGTGTGTGTGTGTGTGTGTGTATTTAAGTGTAGGGTAGAAAGAGCATTCTCTAAAACACTAGTCATAGACTCTCAGTATTAGAATTCATAGTGTTAAAGTGATAAGTGACCCTAGAAACTGAATACTCCAACTCTAAAGAGTTTTATAGATGGGAAAACTGAGGTGCAGAGAGTGGGTGATATGATCCTGTTGGGATCCCACAGCAAAGTAGCTGCAGAGTCTAGATTAGAACTCAGGTCTCCTGACTCCCAACCCAAGGCTTTTCCTGCTGCACTAAATCCTGGGATTTCCTGGTTAACTTTGTTTCTTCTTCTTTGTAGCCTAGGAATCCCAGCCCTAGGAGGGACCTGCCTATCAACTTTAACCGTTATGCCACAAAAAAGAGTGTTTCGGAGAGCATGTTGGACGTGGCTCTCTTCATGTCCAATGCCACTCGTCTGAAGGCTGTTCTGGAGCAGGAACCATCCTCCCCCTACTACATAGTCCTGGTCACCCTCCTCAGCATCTCTCTCCTCTTGCAGGTGGTCATTGGGATCCTCCTCATCATAACTGGTGAGGAACCAGGGATACTGAAAGAGCTGTTCCTTGTTGCATCTTGAGGATATCTAGCAAGGGGGAACATATTACCTCCCAACACAGCCAATTCTATTTTGGGTTAACTAATAGGACATTGTTCTCTGACGTTAAGCCTAAACTTACTTCCCTAAAACTATCGCCCTTTGCTCCTAATTCTTCACTTGGGAACCAAAAAGAACAAATCTCTCTCCCACCAGATAGCTTCCCCAGATTTTTTTTTTTCTTGAATTGATTTTTCCTAGATTGCTTTCAGTTTTAGATTCTTCAGTTTTTAAAAGAACATTTTATTCTCACTGATTGGGGAGGGGAGAGAAGGGGAGGTTGGTGTTGGGGCTTTCCATTGTCCCTTTTACCTTCTCTTGCGAGAAGGGATATCAACCTTCCTCCACTATAAGGCAATAACTTTGCAACGTCAAGAAGACATTGTTCAATCTTGGCATGTCACTGAAAATCTCCCCTGCCCCTCCATAACTTATGTAACCTTCAGTCTTCTGTTGGGCTCTTTCTTGAAGTCAACCTGTGGTGGGCAATTTCGTTGCCATGGCCTGCTGCCTAGCCAAGGCTTTGTTGTGATCCAGTAAGATAATACACTTTGCAAACCTTAAAGTTCTATCATTGATGATGATGATGATTGTCAAATTGTGAAAGCCCTTTATAAACTACAAAATACTATGTAAATATAAGTATTATTACAGCTGTTAGACATCGCCTTATAGAAGCCCCAGATACTGGCCCGTGTTGGGGAAGCAGAAATTTCAGCTTTCTGACTGCCTTACCCTACCCTATGCACACTGTTGCACCTAGCGCTCCAGTCTATGGTTCTAGCTTGTGAGGCTTTAAGAGAGATGCCCATCTGTGGCCTCTGGCTCCGACAATTATACCCACTCATCTCCCCTACTTTTCCAATCCTCTACAGCCCGAATGAATTTGAATGAGGCATCAAAACAACAGCGGCTAAACCAGCTCAACGACACAACCATGGTCATGGTCTTCATAACTGTCATCATCAACATTTTCATCACGGCCTTTGGAGTGCAGAAGATAGGGCAACCCTGGCCCACACCCAGACCCTACTGAATCTAGCTGGGGCCTAGGTGAGGATAAAGGATGGAAGGACACTGTTCAAGCACACACGTGGTCTGCTCCCTGGCCTCGGGGAGAGTGGGGGGGGGAAGGGTGGGATCCTTGCAGAACAAGAAAGTACTGCCTAAACACCAGTTTAGGGGGTGAGGCTTGGGAAAGGGCCTAAATAAGGAGATGGGGGAGGGTTAGGTCATATTATGAAGGGGAGCAGCAACAGAGGATAAGAGGAGAGTCTGGGGGCAGGCCCCTCAGCAATTTCTAGGAATTAGTTATGAAGGAAACTTCCCTTTGTCTTGTCTTAGACTCACTATGTGGTGGTCAGGGTGAGACACTTGTTCTCTCCTAGACCTAAGTTTTTCTCCTGGTTAGGAGTGGTCAGCTCCTATAGTGAAGAGAATAAAGGAAGTAAAAAGTTTTTCATGCCACTCTCACCACCTCCCCAGCTCACCTCTCTCTTTGTTTCTCCTACAGGTGAGGGCCCTGGAGCTCTTTCTACTTCCCTTCTCTTTGACTTCTGCCAGCTCTGAGGACCTCTGCCCAGCTCATTGGGCCTTCTTGATAGCACCTGGGAAGGCTCCCAACATGGAAGTGTTCATCTCCAATACAAGCTCAAATACTAAAGTATTTGGTTCTGTTGGTCAACATGACATCTGTATTGGTAGCTGTGGATGCCTTGTGCCCAGGGTGGGGACACTAAACCCCCAGCTGCCACAAGGTGCATGAGTCTGGAGTTACTGCCTCCAGGTCAACCATATTCCTTTCCCTATTCCATAGCCATCCTCCTCTCTCTAAAGAGAAAAGAGCAATCTCTAACTATAAAGAGATCTGCTAAACCAATGACTACATGACAGTCTTTGCACTTTTCAGTTCATAAGCTCAGATTTAGAACTGGAAGAGACCTCAGAAGTCATGTAGTCCAACCTCACCCCCCACCTGCCATTTTACAGATGCGGACACTGAGGCCCAGGGAGGTTTAGGTAACTTGCCCAAAGTCACACACATGCAGGTATCAGGTCAGAGGCAGAATCTGACCTCATGCCTTCTGACTCTAGAGCTCTTTCCACCAAACCACACTGCTAATTATGTATGTCCATTTAAGAGGGCAGTCTTAGGCTTCTTCAATTACACTACCCAGCTCTGGAAGAGAACATACCTAGAACCTTGAGACAGAGAAGACTACTCAAATCAGCCCTTTTCCTTAGAATTCCACTGTCAAATAGTTTCTCCCTCCCTGCTTGGGCAGCCTTGCACTAGAGGTTTGCCAGATTGATTTCAGGCACTGTCAACTTTTGATCATTCATGGGTGCATTATCCATTTTGTGGATTACCATAGCAAAATTTTAATCAAAGTTTGGCTTTTTCCCCAATAGCATACCATTTTCCTTCCAGTTTCCCCGCACAGCTGCTAAGACATGCTCAGAGAATGCAAACTGATTTTAGCATTAGCCAAGCACAACCAGAAAAAGCAACTTGTAAACTGTGAGGGTTGGAAGGTGCCAGAGAGGTAATCTAGGCCCTCATTTTATAAATTAAGAACCTAGAGTCCAGAGAGGTTGTGACTTGCTCAAGTTCACAGAGGTAGAGATTCAACTTGAATCCGGGTCGTTTCACTGAGTTTGCTTGTGTAGTACCTATAGAAAGATCAGAAAATGTATCCCCAATCCAGATAGAAGTCATTTTTGGAGTATCTGCTGCTTTAAGGCAATCCTAACCATAGCTCCTTCCAATCAATGTGAACCATTGAGAACTGACCAAATAGGATTATTCTGGAATAAGCTGTGGTCATTACTCTCTCCAAATCTGCCTGGCCCCATGCTCAAAGCTTCTAGACGGAAGCTTTCAAGGGAGAGGCTCAGCACTCATTGGCTGTAGGTAATAATAATGATCTCACATTTACACAGTACTTTCAGGCCTGAAAGGTGATTTTATAGCGTCATAGACTGAATCCAAAGTTCACCTAGTCCAACCCCCTCATTCTACAAATGAGGAAACAGAACATCTGGTAACGCGGGTAGTAAGTGGAGGAGACTGGAATTGAACTTTCTCACCTTGCACCATGCTTATTAGCCCCATTTTGCAGATGGGGTAACTGAGACTCAGAGAGGTTAAGTGTAACTTGCCCATGGCCATATAGCTAAGGTAGTGTCAGAGCAATGGAACAAGTTTGCTGATTTTCCACTGCATCATCCTATTAACTGAGGGCAGAGACCATTTCTTCTCCCTTTATAATCCCACGGAACATAGTCACTCATAGCAGACACCTAATACATTGTTACATGTGAGGGTAGCACTGATATCTTTGACATAGCCATTGGTGGATGTGAGACACGGCTGACAGACATGAGACAGAGGCCATGATACCCTTCATCCCAAACCCTCCCTGCATGGATAGGTAAGAAGAAAACACAAGACCTGGATTTTTCTAAGATGCTGTATTTAGCCTTTTCTTTCCCCAACCCACTCTTTCTTTTATAGAATAGAGACCTAGGGGGCCTCTCTTTCTTAAGGCAGATGGTACAGAGGTAACAGTACAGAAATCAGACACGAGGCACTTAGGTTCAAGGTCCAGGGAAGGAAATTAGGGTGTGGGACTGGGAGGTTGGGGCAGGGGCTCTGGGAATCTGAAGGAGAAGATGAACCAGGAGGGTGATTTCCAATTTGCTTTTGCCAGTCAAAGCCTATTTCAGACCTTTCAAAGAAGTTTCTGCAGAGGAAAACTACTCTGAGAGAAAATGAACATCTCACACGGACAACCTCAACTCTCTTCTTCTCTCTGTCATTGGCTCTGTTCAGAATGCAGCAGGTTTGACTGGGGATAGAGTTCAGCTATAGGCTGAGGTCTTGGACCCTGATTCACTTCCCCCTAATTCCCTTCCCATTAACCAGGGGGTTCCTTCTTTTTTTCACATACCTAGACAGACACTGGAGTACTGAGACTCAGTATTGAATGCACCATTGGTGAATGCAGCAGCAGGAGAATTCCCAGTCACAAAGGCAGCCTGAGGATTAGTGCAAGATTCATATGGAATGACCATGTGGGGAACAGCAGGCAGAGGTAGAAGCCTGGTGAATGGGCCAAAGGGCTGTGCTCCTAATGATGCTCTTCACTTAGTCTCCTTACTCCTCTCCCTACTCTAGAGGAGGAGCTTCCTCCCTTCTTGTTCCTCTCACGCCAAGTTCCAGGAGCTTCGGCTAATTCAGAGTGATCCTTACCTTTTCCGGGTGCCTATCTGGAAATATTTCAAAATACCAAGGCTGAGGAGGAATAAACAGTACCTGAACCCCTTCCTGTACATCTGCATAGACCAGCAGTTCCCTTTTCCTGCTTCCCTCCCATGTTTTTTCCTCTCCACTAGCTTCCCCTAGAGAAGAGACTTTCTATTCCTCTGCTCTGCAGAAAATAGTCTACAAATCCAGTGGTGAAGGTGGGAGGTTGGGATGGGATTGGAACTCAACAGACTCCCACTTTCCCTTTAAAACCTACTCCTTGTAGTTTCCATATTGGTTACTGGCCCCAAAGGAGTGGTGGGGTGGGGATTTCAGCCCTGTGCTCTGGCCAGCCTGAGCTCAGCTTCTCTGACTGGATAAGGTTAATGCCCTGTTGCTGATGGCCAAGTCAGGTGATTGGAAGCACTTGCTTTCGGTCTTTTTGTGGGAGGAATGAGGGACAGGGATATAGGCTGAGGCAGGGAGGGTCCCCATCTTGAGAAGGCTTGACTCTTGGAGTGTGTTCAATAAGGTTTCAACCTTGATCACAAGAGAGCTTCTGGGGAAGGCATGGGGGAAACAACATGACATAGTAGAGGGTCAGAGATCCACTATTGAGAATATTCCCCAAAGGTACCACCTCATCCCCCTGGGGAGTTGTTTTCCCATCTGAGAAATCAAGGATTCTCATAGTCTGTGTTGGTTGAGAGAATATGGTGGAAAGATACCACCTCCCACCCCTCTACCACCAACCAATAATTTTTTTTAAAGAGAAAGTCTCTGTTTCATGGTCTTGCTCCCTACAAAGGGCCAGCTGGTTGTGGAAAGCTTCTTATCTGGTGAACAAATTGCTCCTTCCCTTGCCACTTTCCACTTCCTGAAGAGGTATTCCAACTTTGCCACCCAGGCCTGGACCCTACCACCCTCCACAGACCCTCCACTTAGAAATCCTTCCTGTCAAAGGAAGGGGGAGATTACAACACTGCCACCTATTCAGACTCCACATTCAGGTCCACAGGTGGCAAGATGGCTCTCAATAGTGTTGGGCAGGGTGTGAGGGGGTGCTGGCTCACTCCTCCTATTCATTCTCATTTCCCCTCCAGTGGTGGGCAGGAGTGGAAGCATCTGCAGGTCAGGAGGCAGGAATTAGTCAGTTCTGCCTGGGCATCCTTCTGAGATCATGGCATGTTCAACTGGCGACGGTTCCACATGCCCCGCTTGGAGTGATATCGATGGAAGAAATTCCTAAGGGAGAGACGTTCCACTTCTAGGCCAGCCTGTAGAATCCTGAAGAACCGAGAGAGACAGGAGAAACCAACATAAGTGGCAAGGAGATATAGGGAAGATCTTGGGGCCCTTAAGAATATATCCCTGTTCCACAGTGGATAGAGCTCCAGCCTTGGAGTCAGGAGGACCTGAGTTCAAATCTGGCCTCAGACATTTGACACATACTAGCTGTGTGACCCTGGGCAAGTCACTTAACCCTGACTGCCTCACCAAAAAAGGGGAAAAAAAGAAAATATCCCCATTCACAATGAGGTCTCTCCCTTACATTTAGGCCTTCCTCTGAGGGCCTGCACACACTAGGGAAATGTCCACAGGCAGATGGTTCTTCAGCTCATCTTCTAGAGGGCAATGGGACAGATGGAGAATGCTAGGCTCACTAGAGATGGGTGGGAAGTTTAGGGCCACCTTCACTGGCCTTTTTAAACCTTCTCTCTGTCATGGGATCATCCTAATCAATCTCACCCTCCGGACACCCCTGTGACCATGGGAAGAGGGGAGTCTGTGTGCCCCTCTGTACCTAGAATAGAGCTCTGAATAGAAGAGATATAATGGAGAGACAGAAAACTGACTTTGAAGTCAGGAAGCCAGGAAGCCAGAAAGACATACTTCCTATGTGACACCAGGCAAGTCATTTAACATCTCAGTGTTCTAGGCAACTCTCTAAGATTCTAAGTGGTAGAAAAGATGCTAGCCTACCAAAGGGAGTTTCCTCATCTTCATCTCCATATTTCCTGGTCCTGCTCATACTTTCTCTACTAATTCTACCTCCATCAGTATCCCAGGTTGGAGTACCGATACAATCTCCTCCTTCATGTCCCCAGTCATCAGGACTGGGCGTGCGAGTGCCTGTCCTGCTGCCTTTTGTGTTATCTCTGGCTAGAGGTAGAAATAGCTGGAATCAGATGGCACTCATATTTCAATAAGCCTTAGAAGCCTCCCTGGGCCACTGAGAAAGGCAATGAAATGGGAGTGGGCAGGAAGAGATGTATCACCTTTGATTTCATTCTGCTCTCTCAAACAAGCATGAAGCAATGTTATTTTCTACAGGGTGCCCCAAATAACTGCACTAAGACTTTCAGGATACCCTATATAATGCTTTCCTCGGGTTATCCTTCTGCTCAAAAACTGTCAGTAGCTCCTTATTTTCTACCATATCAATCATTTAGTTAGTCAATAAACATTTATTAAGTGACTAATATGTGCCAGGCACTGTGCTAAGTGTTAAGGATACAAAAAGAGGCAAAAGACAGTCCCTGCCCTCAAGAAGTTTACACTCTAATACCAAGTATAAATTTCCTAGACCTGGCAATTGAGACCCTCCATAAGATCATGGAGGCCCTTACATGCTCCCTTGACTCCATTAGGCCAGTTCCTTCATCGTCTCAACACACCGTCATCACTTTTATTTCCTTGCCTTTATTCTCCCTTAAGCTGGAATGCTCTCCTTTCTCTCTGCCTACCCTTACACTTTTAAGGCCCAGCACAAGTCCAACTCTTCTGCGGGAAGCCTTTCTTGATTTCACTCTAGTTTTAATGGCTCTTTTGATTCTTTGGCCTCCTATAGCATTTATTTTTATAACCCCCAAACTAGAATTTTACACTTTGTTGTATATGATACAGTATAATTAACAAGAGAGATTGTAACAAAGGCAGGGACCATATGTCTAATTCTCCAACCAAGCAATCAGCAAACATATTGAATACCTGTGTGCTCAAAATGACTGGGCCCTATATAGGAAATAAAAAGCATAGAGGGGGGCAGCTAGGTGGTGCAGTGGATAACACTCCAGCCTTGGAATCAGGAGGACCTGAGTTCAAATCCGGCCTTAGACACTTGACACTTACTAGCTGTGTGACCCTGGGCAAGTCACTTAACCCCGATTGCCTCACCAAAAAAGCAAAAAAAAAAACAAAAAACAAAAACAAAAACATAGAGGGATAAAGTATACACACAAAATTTAATAGAAGAGATAATATACACATAAGAAGAAAACTAATATACTTCCCTGCATTATAAATAGTAGCGACTTAGGCATCATCCTTAATCTCTCACCACCTCCCACCCCACCATCCAAGCAGTTACCAATTTCACCTTTTCAACAACCCTCCACTAAGCCTTCTCTCCTCTGACAATGCCACCACTCAGGAGCAGGCCCTCGTCACCTCACACCTGGATTATCTCAATTGCCTGGAAGGTTTGCCAGCCTCAAGGTTCTCCCCTCTATGATCCATCCTCCATCCAGCCACCAAAGTGATTTTCTTTTTTTTCTTTTTCTTTCTTTCTTTCTTTCTTTTTTTTTTTTGGTGAGGCAATGGGGTTAAGTGACTTGCCCAGGGTCACACAGCTAGTTAGTGTCAAGTGTCTGAGGCCAGATTTGAACTCAGGTCCTCCTGACTCCTAGGCCAGTGCTCTATCCACTGTGCCACCTAGCTGTCCCCAAAGTGATTTTCCTAAAGCACATATCTGACCATGTCATCCCTCCTCTCTACTCAATAAATTCCAGTGGCTCCCTATCACCTCCAGGATCAAATGCAAAATGTTCTGTTTGGCATTCAAAGCCTTTTATAACCTATCCCCATCTTTCCAGTCTTCTTACACCTTACTCCTCAACACATACTCTTCGATCCTGTGACTCTGGCCTCCTGGCTGTTCCAAGAACAAGACATTAAATCTCTTGGCTCCAGGAATTTTCTCTGCCTGTTCCCATGCCTAGAATACTCTCCTTCCTCTGCTCCAACTAGTGACCTTCCTGGCTTCCTTTAAGTCTCAACTAAACATCTCACCTTCTTCAGGAAGCCTTCCCCAACCCCTCTTAATTCCTGTGCCTTCCCTCTGTTGATTATTTCCTATTTATCTTGTATATAGCTTGTTTGTTGTTCAGTCATTTCACCATTCCCAACTCTTCATGACCCCACTTGGGGTTTTCTTGGCAAAGATATTGGAGTGGTTTGCCATTCCTTCTCCAGCTCATTTTGCAGATGAGGAAACTGAGGCAAACAGGGTTAAGTGACTTGCCCAGGGTCACATAGCTATTAAGTGTCTTGAGGCCACATTTGAACTCAGACCTTCCTAACTCCAGGCCCAGTGCTTTATCCACTGAGCCACCTAGCTGCCCATATAGCTTGTTTGTATATGACTATTTGCATGCTGTCTCCTCCATTAGATTGTGAACTCCTCAAAAGCAGGTACTAACTTTTCCCTTTCTTTGTATCCTGAGCCTTTAGCATAGTTCCTGTTACACAGTAGGCACTTAAGTGCTTACTGATTAGCCTAGCTAGTAGCATAAGCCTTTTACTTCTCCCTAATTGATTTTTCTTTTGTGTGTGAGGCAACTGGGGTTAAGTGAGTTGCCCAGGGTCACACAGCTAGTAAGTGTCAAGTGTCTAAGGCTAGATTTGAACTCAGGTCCTCCTGACTCCAGGACCAGTGCTCTATCTACTGCTCCACTGAGCTGCCCCTGATCTCTTCTCTCCTCAAGCCTCTTATGTCATTGCCTCTCCCTTCATTCAGTTGAAGACTTTGCCTCATACTTCACTGAGAAAATAGAGACCATTCACTGTGAGATTCTTCTTATCTTCTCCTCTATTTCTCAAAACTCCTTAACACCTTCCCATATTCTCTCCTCCTTTACTCCAGTCTCTGATGAAGAGTTGACCCTTCCCTCTGCCAAGGCAAACAAACATTCCCTCCAATCTTCACAAGCAGACTGTCCCCACAATCATCCCCCTCTCTCTAATCTTCAATATCTCCCTATTGACTGCTACCTACAAAAATGACCCAGTCTCCTAGGCCTGACAAAAAACCCTCACACTATCATCCCATATCTCTCCTCTCTTTCTCAGTCAAAAACCTAGAAAAATCTCTCTCCACCTGTCTCTGTGGTCTCTCCTCTCACACCCACTTCTCAATCTTCGAATTTTGGCTTCTAACCTTGTCACTCAACTGGAACTGCTCTCTCCAGAGTTACCTATGATGTCTTAATTGCCATATCTGATGGCCTTTTCTGATCTCCATCCTTCTTGACTTCTCTGATGCATTTGATCTTATTGGCCACTGTCTCCTCCTACATAATCTTCTGTCTCTGGGTTTTTGTGACACTGCTCTCTCTAGAAGCTCCTCCTACCTGTCTGATCTCTCCTAAGTCTCCTTTGCTCATTATTCAGGCATATTGTGCCCCCTATTTGGGTAGTACCCAAGGCCTTATTCTAGGGCACTTCTATTCTCTTTCTATACTCTCTCACTTGTTGACCTCATCAGGCCTCATGGGTTTGACTCTAATCTCTATCAAGATGACTCCCAAATCTATAACTTACCTGTTGAGTGCCAGCTGAACATTTCAAACCATTCATAGATATTTCAAGGTGGATGTCTTACAAGCATTATATATAACTCAATATATCAAAACCTGAACTCATTACATTTATTAATCCCCCTTCCAAAGTCTTTATTTCTGCCCAGGACCACCATCCTTCCAGTTCACAAACTTGGCATGAACCTTTGCTCCTCACAGCACATATTCAATCAGTTATCCAATATTGTCCTTTTCTATCACCATATTACAATGTCTCTTGTTATCCTTCTCTTCACTCACATAGTCATCGCCCCAGTTCAGGCCCTCATCACCTCTCCCCTGAACTACTTAAATAGCCTCAAGTCTCTCCCCTTTCAATCCATCCTATACACAAATGCTGAAGTAATTTTCCTTAAGGGTAGACCTGACCATATTACTCCAATAAACCACTATTTCCTCTCAGATCTAATGCAAGTTCCACATTTAAAGCCATTCAAAGTCTAGCCCCAACTTAACTTTTCCAACTTTATTATACATCTCCCCTTCTCACACTCTTTGGGGCAAATGGGCCGTGTCTCATCTTTGAACCCCTTTGTAATGGCTGTTCCCAATGCCTGGAATGCATTCCCATTTCACCTCCATTTCCTTTTTTTTTTTTGTAGGGTTTTTTTTTTCCATTTTTATTTTGGAGGTAATGGAGGTTAAGTGACTTGCCCAGGGTCACACAGCTTAGCTAGTAAGTGTCTGGGGCCGCATTTGAACTCAGGTCCTCCTGACTCCAGGGCCAGTACTCTATCCACTGAGCCATCTAGCTGCCCCTCTTCACCTCCATTTTTTAGAATCTCTTTTTTCCTTCAAAACTTCACATGGGGGCAGCTAGGTGGTGCAGTGGGTAGAGCACCGGCCCTGAAGTCAGGAGGACCTGAGCTCAAATCCGGCCTCAGACCAAACACTTGACACGTACTAGCTGTGTGACCTTGGGCATCACTTAACCCTGATTGCCTCACTAAAAAACAAAACAAAACAAAACAAAAAAACTTCACATAAGCACCACCTACATGTAGTCTTTCTTGATCTGCCCCACCCCAATTTCTTTCTTTCCTTTTTTTTAGCTTATACATATTTTGTATGTATTCTACATGTTGTCTTTCCCAATAGAATGCAAACTCCTTGAGGGCAGGGACTGGTGCATTTTTAGTTTTGTATCTGGGTGCTCAATAAATCCTTGCTGACTGACTGAGCAATTAAAAACAGGCTCCCAATAAATTTGGACTGACTTACTGACAATGACTGACTTCCTAAGAATTTAGAGCCCAATGAGATAGCTTATTCTGTCTAAGGCAGGCATCATACCTTCTATTTGCCCTTCCTGCCCCCTTTCTAGAGCTTCCTTTCTGGGGAGAGAGCTCTAGTAGTGCTTCCTATCCTCCTTCTGAGGTTCCTACCCTCCTCCCAAATCACCTGTCCAGGAGTTCCCAGTCCTCTCCGCCCCAGCGGTCTCGGAATTCCTTGGTATTCATGCCTCCAATCTTGTCCAGGTCTGACTTGTAGATGCCCAGCAGGCCAAATCCATTCACTTCCCAGTAACCTGAGAGCAAACAAGGAGGCAAGGGTGATACTCAGCTCCTCATACCAACAGGACTGTGCTTAAGGTAGTGAAGGGGAAGTCTTCCCACTTAGTTTCAGGAAGGGAAAGAGGGCAGCTCCTAGGTTGAAGTTCCAGGACCCTTTCTGAAGGAATGAGGGTATAGTAGTCTTGGTTTGATTTCTGACTGTCTTTCTGAATGATATCCTCTAGGGTTTAATCAACCCCTTCAGTCAAGCTTTTCCCTCATCCCACTCTCTAAAAGTTATCCTAACATCTGAGGATAGTCTCTCAGCTCTGAGGGATCAGGAAAAACCAAAGGCCTTTCCTCTTGCCTGACACTGACTGACAATCAAGGATGACTTGAAGGAAACATCCAAATGTGTGTCTCAGACCAGGATCATTACAAGTCAGATCCAAGAGGGAGAAATGACCACAGCTGACTTCACAACTTCAGGTAAGACTAAAGAAGGCTCTTTCTAGAGTACCAAAGGGAGCTGAAATGCTGGCCTTCCGGAGAGGAAAAGAGGGAAAGAGGAAGGACAGCTAGACAAGAGATTTTAGTGGACTAAAAGCCCAACAGCGAGACATAGAAGCTGAAAAAAGCATTATTAGAAGTGTGGAGTCAGTTCTTCTAGAGACAATATTTTAGGAAATACATTGGCAAACATGTCCAAAAGATGGTGAGGGGACTACAAAGCGTGGCATAAAAACACCAATTAAAGGAACTGGCTTGTTCAGCACGGAGAAGAGAAAACTTAGGGAGAACATGTAGTATTCTGAAAGTATTTGAAGAATACGTGAAAAGGAATTGGTCTGATTTTGCTTGTCCTAATGATGACGATGGTGATAATAATAATGAAACATTTATACAGTGCCTTAAGGTTCATGAGCACTTTGCAAATATCATCACATTTTATCATCAAAACAACTCTGGGAAGTAGATACTACTGTTGTTCAGTCATTTTTCAGTCATGTCTGACTCTTTATGATCCCATTTGGGTTTTGTTTTGTTTTTTTGGCAAAGATACTAGAGTGGTTTACCATTTCCTTTTTTAGCTCATTTTACCTCTGAGGAAACTGATATAAACAAGGTTATGTGACTTGCCCAGGGTCACACAGCTAGTAAATATCTAAGGCTGGATTTGAATTCAAGTCTTCCTGACTCCAGGTCTAGCATTCTATCCACTATACTACCTAGCTGCCCTAGGTGTTATTATTATCCGCATTTAACAGATGAGGAAATCAAGGCAAATAGCAGGTAAGTGACTTGCCCAGAGTCACACAGCTAGTAAATCTCCGAGGCTGGATATGAACTCAGGTCCAGTGCTCTACCCACTATGCCACCTAGAAGACCAGAACCAGAAGTTATAGGTAGAAGCTGAAGAGAAACTAATTTTAGATAAGGAAAAACTTTCTAACAGAGTTTTGTAAAAGTAGAATGTGATACTGTGGAAAGTAATGAGTTCCTTGTCACTGGGAGTTTTCAAGTAGAGTCTAGATAACCACTTGTTCAGGATGTTGTAAAGAAGATTGCTATTCAGGTGCAGGTTAACCTAGGTGGATTTGGGGTCTCTTCCAAATCTGAGATTCTTCTGATTCCAGATGATTTATGTCCCTTCATACATTCTACTTCACAGCCAAACTGGCCTTCCTCCCATGCTCAGAATTCAGCATTCCATCTTTTGTCCCCGAGTCTTTGCTTTGGCCACCCTCCCCTATGAAATTCACAGCCCCTTCCTCTCTCAGACTCTTAGCTCCTTCAAGCCTCAGATCAGGTGTCCCCTCCTACAGGAAGTCTTTGCTGACCCCCTAGTTGTCAGCATTCTCTTTCCTCTAATCATCTTGTATTCGGTTTACAAGCTATATCCTCCAACATAATGTAAAGAAGGGGCTGTTTTTCCTTTTTGTCTCTGTATCTATTGTGTTTAGCACAATGCCTTATATATGGTAAATATTTACTAAAAGCATATTGAATTGAATTGATTTCTGCGATTCTGTGAACCAGGGGTGAATCCCAAGCTTTTAGAACTACACAAGCTGTTGGGCTGCTGATATTTTTCCTGGATTCCCTCCCTAGCAGGGTAGAAATGGATCAAAGATGGTGGTTTAACTATGATAAGGGTAGCTAGGAGTGTAATCTTACAATGGATGTCTGGTTCCATTGTTGTTGCTTTCAGTACACATATACAGAGTACATAGTTTACTGTTGTAGGATGAGGGGAGCAGAGACCACAGCTAGGTATTAGTGGTAGAGTTCAAGGTAATGACTTGTTTTAGCCTTAGAGAGAATGATCCAAGGGTTCTCTTCAGCCAGGGTCAGTACTTACCCTCAGGCCACTTTGGTGTTGCCCCACACTGCAGCCTCATCACCATGGGAGCAAAGGCCATCTTGCCCTCCACACAGTGCTTCCGAATGACATCGATGACTCCAGGCGGAAAGTGTATATGGAGATCACACAGGAAAATAATGCTATGTGGGTCCTGGAGACAGATGCAGATAGGATCAGGTCAGCTTGCCAGGGCAAACAGGTAGCTCTCCTTCCAGAGGTGTGCTGGTAAATGTTAAACAACCCACTTCCCAAGGGAAAAAAACTTACATACAACACACTAACACTTAATCTTCATTATCAATATTTTCTCTGTCACTTTCTTAAGTCTAGACTCCAGACAATCAACAAAGCAATAATAAATCAAACCCTGATTTATAGCGTTTGCTGATTTCTGGGGTTTAAATGCTCATAATGGAAATTTAACAATCTGAGCTCTCTCCAGAACACCCCTGTCTCCTCCTTCCTTTAGTTTTGTTCAGATCCCTTTCTAATGCAACATCAGTTACCTCTCCTGAGCTGCCAACCAATAGGAAATAGATGGACACATTTAAGATTGTGTCTTCCATGAAACAGAGTTTCTAGGAGCAAATGAGCAGCTGCTCTAGAAATTCAGGCTACCCCGTGGGTTACCCAATCGCCTCCTGGGATAGGCCCACCTTAGTGGGCCTGAAAGAATGCTCCCACCCCCTTTCGCTGGTGAAATTGTTAGCTTTATATGCTTAAAGGGAGCAGTACCACCCTATTCTTCTCTTTCCCTAGTTCAAGACTAAATTCTTTCTGCCCCCTTTACCTTCACCAGGTCCACACCAGCTTGAAGCCCTGCTGAGCGCTCAAAGTTCCCAGTCAACTTCATGTACTGGTAGCTGCAGAGAAGAGAGATTAGACAGTATGCTCAGTCCTGGATTCTGGGGATAGAAGTTCTCTGAAGATGTTGAGCAGGAATAGGGCAGGAATGTGGTGGGGGCTCTGAGATCAGGCTTACAAAAGGAGAAAATAGCCCTAGAGTGGAAGCCAGCCCTACAGCAGAGGTGACTGGGTTTACCTGTTGGCTTTATCTCCAACAATTTGCTTGGGTTCTTAGAAAAATAAAATGCCCAGGTTCTCCCACTGGCCAGCATGTTACTATCTCACCTTCGCAGACTGGATCTCTTAAGTGCCATCTCTACATTCATGTCCTCACTGCTATAGTCAGTGATGATGATGTTGAAATGGGGATCGCCGGTCACCTGGGACAGCTTCTCCATGTCATTGATGAACTGCTGAACCCATCGTGCCTGGTTCTTCACTATCAAGGGATGAGGGACAGGTAGAAAAAAAAAAAAGATAGATGTTAGGCACTGATGCACCCTGTAGGCCCTATCCACCCTCTGCTTATATCATGGCCAATGTGAACTCTATACATGACTTGGAGCCAAAGAGTTTCTCTTACCCCTAATCATGTTAATCATGTACTCTTGCCTCGTCACATCCACTGAACATGCCCACATGAGAATTGCTTGGGATAATGTGTTATGCTACTTAATATAGCCTTGAGTTGGCATAATAATCATGTTTTCTTGTCCATCTTATTATAATCACATTATGTACTTTAATTCATTACAAAACCCTTACCACAACTCTTTATTTTCATATTTCTGTCAATTATTATTGATGCTTTTATTATTTGTAAGACAATTATTGGGGTTTTTTTGTTATTTATTTGGGTTTTTTTTTTTTTTTTGGCAATTGGGGTTAAGTGACTTGCCCAGGGTCACACAGCTAGTAAGCATCAAGTGTTTTGGTCTGAGGCATGATTTGAACTCAGGTCCTCCTGACTTCAGGGCCGGTGCTCTATCCACTGCACCACCTAGCTGCCCCCAAGACAATTATTGTTGTTGTTCAGTCATTTCAGTTGTGTCTGACTCTCTGTGACCCCGTTTGGGGTTTTCTCGCCAAATATACTGGAGTGGTTTGCCATTTCCTTCTCCAGTTTATTTGATAGATGAGGAAACTGAGGTGGTAGATGAGGAAACTGAGGTAAACAGGATTAAGCAACTTGCCCAGGGTCACACAAGCTAGTAAGTGTCTAAGGCCAGATTCCTGACTCCAGACCCAGCACTCTATCCACTGAACCATCTCAACATCCCGTCCATCTATCTAACACATTACAGTATTCGTGCCCTTTTATCCTACCTCTCATCCCATTCACACACTTTACCTGTTATAATAACCTCAACTCGGGATCTCCTTTGGCCAGTTATAATTGGTTATGGTATCCCACCTTATTATAACACCCCCGATCCACTAAAACACCCTCCCCTCTGCTGTGTGACTCACCAGGCACAATAAAGTGAACAACAGCATGGTGGTTCCAGGAGAAGCCGAGGGGCCAGCACAGTTCAGGTTCTTTGGATTGGCTGTTTAGCAGGTGCCGCTGGCGCTGGTGGCCCAAGACCATGCCACGTAAGTTGTGTGCTTCTGGCTCCTTGCCACCACCCACACTAACCCCTCGCCAGTCCCTTGACAGCACATACTCTGATAGCCGCATCAGCTGACCACCCTTCTCCAGAAGTTCCAGCTCCAATAGGTAGCGACTCCCTCTAAGTCTGTCCTGACGCTTCTCTATGTTCACAACACGATGTAGCTGGTACCGCCTAAGGTAGGATGGGGGGAATGACTTCATCATCTTTTTCTCTACTGCTCCAACCCTCTGTGTTCTGATTATAGGGTCAGAGATCTCAAAAGTGGGCTTCAAATAATAACTCACATTTATATGACACTTTATAGGACTCAAAGTACTTTGCTTACAATAACCATGGTGGATAAGCCATGTAAATGTAATTATTCCATTGGACAGATAAGAAAACTAAGGTTCAAAGAGTTTAAGTGACTCATCCGGGATCGTGTTGCTATTAGGGGACAGAGCCTGCACTCAGAGCTAGTTCTCCTAACTTTGAGTGTATTGATTTTTTTTTTTTTTTACTATACTACATTCCTTATCAAACCATTGAAAGAGAACTTTACTTATATCTGAACTAATTTATTCTGATTTATTAATACCAGCGCTCTACAGTCTCTGAGCTATGGAACTAGGAAGCTCTAGAGTGGTAGGTTTTCCTCCAAAAAATCTTCCATGATTAAAAAGACATGCTCTATATATGTACATTCAGTTTTGTCCAGTCTGGAGAGACCTCAGAGAAAATCTAGTCCAACCTTCTTATTTCATTATTATTTATAAATTTACAAATAAAGCTATTATCTGTAGATTTGTAAATGAAGCTCAGGAAGGTGAAGTGGTTGGCAATCAGATCGCATGGCTACCTGGTGGCAAAGTTTTGTTCCTTCATTATAATAATAATGATGATGATAGCATTTACTGTGAGCCAGGCACTGTGCTAAGTGCTTTACAATTAGGTTCTCATTTGATCCTTGCAACAACCATGGAAGACAGGTTCTATTATTATCCCCATTTTACAGATGAGGAAACTGAGACAAACAGGAGTTAAGTGAGTTGCCCAGCTCACACAACTAGTAAGGGTCTGAGGTCAAATTTGAACTTGGGTCTTCCTGACTTCAAGCCCAGGGCTCTATCCACTAGTCCTCCTCCAGGCGACTAGGATTCTTAGAATCCATAGCCACCAAAACTTTAGAGCACTAATACTAAGCTGCACCCCTCCAGAAAGCACTCAACACACCTTAATTGAGAGTGACTAGAGAGTCAATACATTTAACTCATATATGCTAGGAGTAATCAGTCACCTGAGGGGATTTAAACTTCATGTCAGACCAGAGAATGAGATTGAGGTCAGATGTCCAGTTTGAGGCAAAAAACTTCCTGCCCAGGTCCTCTGCCCTTCCCTCTCCCCACGTCCCCACCCCACACAAGAACCCTTTTACTTTACCCCCTTGTCTTCTGGTTCAGCTTCTGCAGAAATACATGTGTGACCTCTAAGGCTTCTCTCTCCCGCAACAACAGGTTGCCTGATGTGTTGCAATTTAAGTCAATCCAATCAGTCCTCAGGGTCTGGAAGTCCACATTTCGGGCACTGAAAGTCTGATTCCAGTTCACGGCAGGGTCAAACAGAGGTACGTATTCAAATGCATCACCTAAGTCCTCCTCCTCTTCCTCTTCTTCTTCCTCTTCCTCCCCCTCCAACTGCCTTTCCTCATCTTCAGCCACCACCACCTCCTCCCCCTGCTGAATTCTCCCAGGGGCCTCTGGCTCTGCTCCATCAGCCTTTCTCTGTTCCACAATATATGACTGAACCTGATTCAGCCACTGAGATTGATCCAAGGTCTGCCTGTGGTGGCTACCTCCCAGCCTGGACCTCTTGAACTGAGGGGAAGTCACTGCCAAGTGCTCAATGAGGTGTTGGTTGGGACGAGACACTTCTTGGACATGCTTAAGGCTGGGCTCTTGCTCACTCTTCTTCCTGGAGTTCTGGAGTACCGTGTCACTTGTCCTCATTCTAGAGGAAGCTTTGTTGTTCTTCTCTGGCAGAGTTGCTGGGGAGGTCCTCGGATGCGTGGCTAGAAGCTTCCTCCGGCTTCTGAGGTGATAATCTGTGGCATCCTGACCAGGGATGGAAGCAGGGTTGTTCTCATCTTCTAAGATCACAGGGCCCCGGTCAGTGGGGGTGGGGAATTCTTCACCCTGATCTCCATACTGGGACTCATTGGGAAGGTCCTCCTCAAAACCTACAAGTAGCCATGTACACATGATCAATATCAAGAAGGAAGAAACAGAAAAATGGGCGGAATGAAAAACACCATGCAGCCACACCCCACCTCTGCCAGGAAGGTTACTACTGCTGTCTCATAGTATTGATTCTGGAGTTGTATGGCTTTGTGAATTAGAGGAATAATGCTTAGTTTGCTCACTTTAGGCAGCACTCATCTAGCTCAGTGCCAGGTACCAACAGCATAACCAGTGCCTTCTGACAAATTAATTCAATGCTAAAGGATCTTTGCACAGCTCTTCTGTCTCATGCTCTGCCTATGGCTTGAGGAAGGCACAGGGTACAGGGGAAAGAATACTGGGCCTGAAATCAGAAAACTTGGGTTCAAGTTCTGACCTACTTACTACCTGTGAGACTGTGGGCAAGTAACTTCACCTTTTCTGGACCTCAATTTCTTCATCTATAAGATAAAGGGGTTGGACAAGGTGAATTTTTGAGGACCCTTCCAGTTTTAACAATCTATTAGACTTGTAGAATCAATCAATCAACAAGCATTTATTAAACTTCTATAACATGCCAGGAAGGACTGTGCTAGTCACTAAGCATACAAAGACATAAGCAAAATAGACCCTGCCCTCAAGGAGCTTACATTAAAATCTATAAGATTTTGCATTAGACTCAATGAGAACTCCCTACTGGAAATTTAAAGGAGGCAGTAGCTATGGAAGTTTCAGTCTTGAGTCCCTTACCTGGTTGCTCCAATCTCTCCTTGAGCTCTGGACTCTGCCTATCCAGTTGGTCAATTTTAATGTATTTCTGAAAGCCAAACCTACAGGAAAGGAAAAAAGCACCTTAGCGCCCTAGCCCCCCACCATAATGTTACAGGGTGACTACTGGCTGCTCCTTTGTTGGAAGCCCAGCAAGAAATGACAAGCAATGCCTTGGACTAAAGAAGTGGGAGGCTCACTCAGACCTAAATGTGCTACATTTTTTGTGTTTTACAATGAGAAAATATTGTAACTCAGGGCTTTTTCCTTCTCTCAGTCAATCTTGGGGCAGTAGGATTCCCAGGATCAAAGGATCCCCAGGATTGAAGAGACTCTCTTCTATTCCTTCAGACCATATCAATCTGTCCATGGCTTTTTGCAAGACTCCAAGAAATGGAGGGAGATCACCTCTATGACCCAGGCTAGTGTTACTTACTTGTCCAGATAGTATGAGTTCTCTTGGTAGAAGCATTTGTTATGTGTCTCCATGTGACTCAATCTGGTGTAGTCATTTGGGTAAACAAAAGACAAGTGAACCTGGGGGAAGAGGAAGAGGGAGAGAAGACAAATCATCATCTGACATTGAGCATTTTCCCATTGGTGTTTCACAGGCATTGACCGTTTAGGATCTGGTCTCAGCCTGCCCAGGATGGGAGAAAAAGAAAAAACTGTGGACTCTAAATGGGCCACATGTGCTGCTTAGATCACTTTGTTCCTTACATCTATTGCCCGATGGGGCAAATGTAGATTTTTAATCTCCCGTTGCCGGCCTGCTTCTATCCCCCCACTTTATCCTAGTTCACAAATATCTGTGGCAGCCAACTTCTCTCACTGGGTTTAGTCTCCTCCTTTCTCCTACCTCCAAGACTTTTGCTCAAATTCTTTCATATTCTTGAAACAACCTTCCTTCTGACCACTTCCTTCCCCTGCTTGATAACTTATCCATTCATTCTATAGTCTGCCAGCACCATTCCTAATCCTTCTTAAAATCATAAGTCTGGACATAGTCTGGTCAGCTTCATGTCTGTGTATTGTGACTTGCCTGTTAAAACTTCATCTTCCCTGCCTTGGGCAGCTAGGTGACCTAATGGTTAGAGCTCCTGGCCTGGAGTCAGGAAGACTCATTTTCCTGAGTTCAAATCCAGCCTCAGACACTTCCTAGCTTACTAGCTATGTGATCCTGGGCAAGTCATTTAACTTAGTTTGCCTCAATTTCCTCATCTGTAAAATGAGCTGGAGAAGTAAATGGCAAACCACTCCAGTATCTTTGCCAAGAAAACCCCAAATGGGGTCATGAAGACCCAACTGAAACAACTGAACATCAATAACAAGGTCCACCCAAGAGGACTATTCCAGCTTAATACACCTTGCCCACACTCTAAACCACCATTTTCCCAACTGTGTCCTGCACAGTACCTCTATTCCATGCAATGTGAACAGGGTCTTCTATTTCTTTTAAATGTATTTTATTTTATTTTATTTTCAGATCTGCATTATCTCCCTCCCATCTCTCCCTCACCTCTATTGAGAAAATAATACAAAACCCTTATTGCAAACACATTTAGCGTCAAGCAAAACAACTTCCTGAATTGACTCCCCAAAAATATACTCTGAATTCATCACCTCTCTATCAGGAAGTAGACAACATGTTTCATCCTAAGTCCTCTAGAATTGTGGTTGGTCATTGTGTTGATCAGAACTCCTAAGTCTTTCAAAGTCATTTGTCTTTATGATGTTGTTTCTCTATAAATTGTTCTCCCCAGTTCTGCCCACTTCACTTTGTATCAGTTCATATGAGTCTTTCCAGGTTTCTCTGAAACCATCTCTTTCATCATTTCTTAAAACCCAGTAGTAGTAAATAGATTTTTCTTGAGAAAATTTTCCCCTCTAAAATGTGAAATATAAAATGAAGTTTTTAAAAGAATGTTCATCATGTGAGGCATTTCCCTCTTATTTTGTGGTACTGGATAGAGTCCAAAGTTACTTTGGAAGGTAATGAGAGCAAACATAGGAACCTTCCAGCTAAAGAGAATTCAGGAAAAGTTAGATGGTGGGGCCCAGCTGTGCAAGGCTAGATTTAAAAATTTGCCAGTACCACAGCAAATTCAGCAGAATAAAAATTCCTTGTCTGGTTGAATAGCCTGTTGATTACCCAGGAAGGAAGTCTGGATTCCTGAACCTTAGGACTCATTTCCCTTTATTCCTCTGATGTCTGTCTATGGTGCTTTGCTTGGTCAGACATTAGCCTTAGTTACTACTACTAGTTTCTCTTAGTTCCACAATCTGTAACCTCAGACATTAACCTTGGCTTCTGTTTCCAAAACTGCTATCTTCAGCCCACATAGGTCCCAGACTGGTCTTCCCAGATACTGTCTTCTGCTTGCCCATATTACAATTTTATGGCACTTTTGTCCCATAGCCTGTTTAGGAATATCCTGGCTAAAATGTCTCCCTAAGATCCAAAGGTTTGGGTTTGAAAAAGAGTATCTTATGATCTCTACCAGGTCACATTTGTACAATATGAAAACAGGTTTAATTTCCTTGATTATGCTCCATAATTCTGTCCTCTCTTTTATCCTGAAAGTATTTTATCTCATCCCAAAACAGCATTTATAGGTCCTGGCAATATATTCCAAGTCCCAAAATGTCCTATGGCCAAATGAAGTTTAGGAAACACTGTTCCAGCAGAATACATCATTGCTGGTTGAGTGACTCCAAGTGCCCAAGTGTGACAGGTTTAACCTACTCCTGATATCACTGGACTTGAGAGACCCTGAGAAAAGCCTTCTTCATATCACTTATTGTGGGAAATGACTCCCTAGGAGTGGGTAGCTATTTTCACAGGGCCCTGCCAGCTTACCTACTTGAGTGAGAAAGACAGGTTCAGAATACAGGTGCTTCAAAATATTACACTGGAAGTTCCCAGAGGGCAGGAACTTGGATTGTGGATTCATTTTTTACTTTTGAATCCCCAGGATTTAGCACAGTGGAATCTATATAGAAGGCACTTAGTTTGTTGAATTTCTGACTGCCAGGGATGACACAGAGAGAAAGGAGAGAGTGTCTTAGAGACCCCCTCTGTCCACGCTCCATGCTTCCTTGCCCTTTTCCCCAAAACCTTCCCAGGATGAGACTTACAAACTGGAGTCCCTGGTAGCGCTGGAGGGGGAAGCCATTCACTAGGTAGCTGGGTTTATATTGGCAATCTGGTAGGACCCGGCGGAGTTGAGATTTGGGGATCAAAGGCACTGATGGGAGGAAAGGAAAGAGGATACATAGGTGGGTGTGAGTTTGCTGTAAATGACTCAAAGTCATTGCTGGTGGTTGCCATGTTGATCCTGATTCTGCTGTCCCAGAGTGCAGTCCCTAGAACACAGATCTGTCTATCATTTGGGGGGTACTTAGGTTAGAAAGTGGCAACCAGGGACATATCTCCTCACCATATCTCCCTGTGCCACCCGTCCATCCTCCCCCCTTATAGAGTCTCTGGGGAAGCAGTTGCTGCCCACTCAAAACTAGGGAGCTATGTCTCTCTAGGTCCCCTTTAGTACTATCTCTCCAGGAATGTGCCCAGGGTGGTCAAGGCACAGTTTAAGGTCTTACATCGGTATAGGGAGTCCCGGGGATCAGGCCTCAGCATGTCAGCAGGGTGCTCCTGATCTGTGGGTAGTGGATGCAGAGGGCCAGCATGGCTGGCCACCGTCTGTGGGATGTGGGCCACCTCATCCATCTTGAGCAGCGTCTCATCTGAGCCCAGGAAGAGAAAGGTCAATGTGAGTGAGGGGCGGCCGTGAGCTCTAGAGGGAGTCCAGCACAGAGCACGTTCCTCTCATCATTCTAGATGTGATGAATATTCAGCCAAGAGTCAAGATCCCAAGTTTCAAGAGACTTCAAACCCTTCAAAAGGGTTCCCATCTTCTAAGTCACCAGCCTCCTCTCTGCAATATCCCTCCAGTCTCAACTGTTGCTTTCCCCAAGATCTAAGGGGCCTTAGTGGCTCTTTCATCCTCTCATCCCTTTAGTTCTTTCATTTTGACTTCTGTTTTCATCCATTCCCTCTCTTTTTTTTGACTAAGTGCTATGCTTAACCTCAGAGGATTACTTTTATCCTGTCTCTGCCTTCTGGGCTCACCATTCTTCAATTTTTAAGACCAAAGAAGAGCCCCATTAATGGGATCAAAAGACACATTTTTGCCCCCAACAACCAAAATCACTGCAAGCTACACAGTTCGTTTACTGGATGTTTAAAACAAACGATTAACTATTTTCTCCTTTGCCTATAGCTCCTCCAAGAGTCATCATCTGGAAGATAAGGGGGTTGGATTAGATGGTTTCTAAGGTCTTTACAAAGAGAAAATTTCATGACTCAATGAACGTAGGTTCTCAACCTTTTTTGTGTGTTTTGGACCCTACTGGCAGTCTGATGAAGCCTATACACCCTCCTCAAAGTTTTTAAAGCATAAAATAAAATACATAGGATTACAAGAAAAACTATGTAAAATATAGTTGTCAAAATATTTCTTTAAGAAAACAAGTTGATGGGCCCCAGGTTAAGAACCCCTGTTCTATAATCTTGTCGGGCTCCTGCCTTTGTCTAGCTCAGTCTGGCTCCAGCTCTTCAAGCCCACTACTTTAAGTAGTCCCAAGAATGCTTGTTTCTCCTTCTCTCATGCTCAAGAAAAACCCCTGAAATCTGCCACAAAGTACCTCTTTGTTTCTCCTACTGCTTTAGTTAGCATTTACCCCTGCCCGCAATGGCTCCTTTTCTCCCCTCCCCCCCAAAAAAACCCCAGCCAAGATCAAGGTCATAACCTGATTCCCCAGGTGGGGCAACTCCAGTCCATCAGCCTACTCACCTGTGAAGAGGGACAGGGATGGAGAGTCAATGACTGCGAACTTGGCCCCAGGGTCATTCAGCCGCCACTGGAATAGTAAAAAGAATCGATGTGGAAGGCTGAAGATGAGCTGTGTGAGACACAGCTGGGTGAGAGACAGAGTTGGAAAGCCAAAGGTGTTATTGCTTCTGTTGCTAATAAGCAACTAGTAACTATTACTGTAGAAATAGTAAGCTCCGGTTGAGAGGGGGTTTGACAGCAGGGCTAGGAGGGGAAAGAACAGCTTAGGGTATACTCACCGCCACTTCCACGTGATCGGTCCCTCGGTCATTCTGTTTGTGCAACACCTCAAAGTAGTACCTTCTAGAAGCTGACAGGCTGGGTGAGGAGAGAGCAGAGAAAAATGCTGACAGGCGTCCCTTTGATCCCCCGACTATGGCCATGATAAACCCAACTCTTCCTCTGTACCATGCCCAAGGTCCTCTCAGCTCTGGAACAGTTTTCCCTGAGAGACCTATCTCCTTCTCAAGGGAGTCTTTGTTGGACTGGAGAACGTCCAAGGTCCCTTCTAGCTCTAAATCCTATGATTCTGGAGAACTCTTCAGGCACGTCATTTAAATGAATCGTCTTGGCTGAAGAAATTCAGAGTTGGCCACCAGGAGGCACTCAGGGGCCATTCTAATGAATAACCTTCGTCCACTAATTTCCACACGGTGCAAAAGCTATTTCGGTTTGAAAGGCCTGGCCATCCAGGTTCCCTCTCCCTTTTTCCAATCTAGAGAATATTGCAAGGTCATGAGGCAGCACAGAAGCTCCCCAAAGTTGGTACGGCCATGTATACTGTACGTTAAGACCGTATGAATACAGCTATCTTCGAGTCTGAGATAAATGGTCATTAGAGATTGAGCCTCAGACTGGTGTAGGGAAAGGAGTGCCGGCCTGAGGGTTAGGGAATCCAGCTCTGCCATTAATTCCCTGTCATTTCATCTTTTTAGACCTTACTCTCCTCACCCATAAAATGAGGATACTGGATTAGATGATTTCTAAGTTTCCTTCCTTTGCACATTAGATGATTCTTTGAATTACATGTTGCTAAAGAGTTTGGAATCTCTGGCATAGGAGGGTCAGACCCCATAACTAAACATTAGGAATGGAGAGGGAAGAGATGGCCCACTCACCTCACTGGCTTGGAAATTTGACTTCGGAATTTTCCAAACTCTCCAGGCGCAGTCCACTCCTTTCCTGTCTAGGGTTGGAGTGGGAGCAGAGCAAGAGAGAAAAAGGAAATGAAAAGAGAGTGAGGAAATGAGGAAAGGAAAGAGATGAGGAAGAGATAGGAGAATATATGAGGAATGTCAGAGCAGAGGAGGAGGGAAGAAGGAACAGAGGAAGAAAGGGAAAGAAGGAGAGAAAGGAGTTTGAGGGGGAGAGTGGTTAAACTATAAATCAAAAGCAGGCTTGCCTTTGACATGAAACAAATCAGATTTTGATGAGAGCTGAGCAGTCCATCAACTGAGAAAGATTTATTGAGCATTTATTGAGATTTATTGAGGCACTCTGTGCCTAACAATAGGCAGTGTGGGGCATAAAATAAATATATCACACAGTTATTGTCACCAAAGAATCCCTCTGAAGTCACTTCCCAGCTGTAGGTCACTTTGACTCTTAGCCCTAATTTGTGCCTCAGTTTATCCCGTAGCTATGCTTAGAACTCTTCATCTCCAACCCCAACCTTCCTTCAAGTCTCAGCTAAAGTCCCACTTTAGAAACGTTTAGCAAGAAACGTTTCCCAGTCTTCCTTAATCTTTTTTTTTTTTTTTTGAGGCAATTGGGGCTAAGTGACTTGCCCAGGATGACACAGCTAGTAAGTGTCTGAGGCTGGATTTGAACTCAGGTCCTCCTGACTCCAGGGCCAGTGCTCTATCCACTGCACCACCTAGCTGCCCCCCTTCCTTAATCTTAGTGCCTTCCCCTGAGATTGCTTCAATTTGTCCTGTGTGTACCTTGTTTTTATAGTTATTTGCATGTGGTCTCCCCATATTAAATATGTGAGCCCCTTGAAAGCAGGGACTATTTCTCTTTTTTTGTCTTTCTTTGTATGCCCCAGAACTTGGCACAAGTGCCTGGCACATAGAAGGACCTTAATGCTGGTTGACTATGTAAAATGGGTGTGTGTGTGGGAGGTGTTAGAATCATTCTGCTCTCTCCACTGAGCTCCGATTAAAAAGAGTGGCAATAATGGTGATGATATTAAAAAGAGTGGCAATAATGGTGATGATGGTGATGATATGAGAATGGAGGAGGTCTCCTGGCTACCCAGAATCAAACAGGGAACCCACCGGGGATGAGAAGACTTGTACCTTTCCCACACTAGCCATCAGCTGGAGGCCTGAGACCTGGTCACTGGAGCTTAGCCAGAACTCAGCGTTGTCATCTGCAGCAATAGCAAACTGGACATCTCCTGTAGGGAGGGATGAGGTAAAGGGTAGGAGAGAAGGAGGAAGAGATTCCAAGATTAAGGGACAAACTCCCCGAGCTCTTTCTGAGCAACAGCCTGCCCTTGGGGCCAGCTGGTCCCAAAGGGGTAACTGTGCTCTGGGGTTGTCATGGCAATCTCCTAGGAGTCAGACAAGAGGTCTGAACAGGGAGCTGAAGCTACAAAGCCTAGAAAATATCAGGGGAATGAGGACTGGGGCATCAGGCTACTAGGCAGGAGCCAGTGATATCTGATATAATCTAAGACCCAAAGTTCGTTCCTACCTTGTGATTCGGCTTGCCTATTAGACTTATTCTAGCCCCTCTCTTGTCTCATAGGAGGTCACTGAAAGGATGGAGGGGACAACTTGGACGGAGATCCTCAGGGGCAGAGACCTCACAGGCCTCAGCTAACACTTGCTGAATTCCTAACTGAGGGTTTAACTGGCCTGAGGCTGCCCTATTTCCCACTTCCAGATCCATTTGGGGGATATTTCTGTTGGGCCTTTGGGAGAGAGGAAAACCCTGTGTTCAGGAGCAAAAGGGTGAGTGGCTCATGGAATCTGGTCTCACCATCAGTGAAAGGGTGCAGGTAGCCAAAGATCCGGAGCCCATAATTGGTCCACTTGGGAGATACAGCTAACTTCCTTATTGTGGTTCGGGTCTGAGAAGATCAGAGGAGGGGAAGAAAATTAATAACCAGAATTGGACACTATGGGAAGTATGAGAGATGTGAGGAATAAGAATAAGAAGAGAGTAAAAAGAAGAAAAAAGTTTATGGCAATTGAGCTAATAATCCAGGGATTATTAGCATTCATTATCTTTTTCAGGATGAATATTAATCTCATATGATAAATCAGGTCCACATGCCCCAGACCCAAAAAGAAATCAGGCAAAGAGCCTGGTGAGAACTGAAATATTCTACCACTCCTTTCTACTCTCTTGGTGTGTTTGATCTTTATGAGATTGTGTTAGTATGTGCTGGGAGAGAAGGCAATGAAGGGGGCTGAGTAAATGCTTGTGGTCTTGCAGCCTAGGGAAATGGGAAGCACCAGAAGGTTCTCTCTGGGACCTAGTGAGGTTGGAGGGAGGGGGATGGAGAGGAAAAGATGGTTTGCTGAGGGAAAGGAATAAAGATTAGAAGAACAGCAGGTGTACTTGAGTGGGGGTGGAGGAAGGGAAGAGAGGAGTGATGTGGAAGGGAGTAAGTCATTAAGGAAAGGAAAGAGAGTGTGCTAATTTGTTCCAGGGAAGGACTTTGGGAGTATTATTTGGTGGGGGAAGAAGAAGGTAGATCTAGTCAGGTTTAAAAAAAAAACCAGAAGAAAAAGTGGCAATGAAACATGTAAAAAATGAACAGAAGAGAAGTAAGTTCAGAAGGAGACATGGACAAGCGGGGAAGCTTTGGAAGTAATCTGTTGACTTTGTCATATGCTTAAAAAAAACAAGCTGTATATAATAGAGATTCATGGTTTCATGTGAAATTCTCCTTTTCTTTTCTTTGCATATGGAAATGTTCAAGATTGCTGATGCCAAGTTCATAATAATAAAAGAAAAAAATTAAACCAAGAAATAAGAGAGGGAACAGAAAAGATTGAAGGTGCCGCTGAGTGTAGGAGTTAGAGGAATTCATAGTGCAGAAGAAAACATGGCCCGAAAGAGAAGGAAAAGCTCAAGGAATGAAAAAAAAGTGTGTGGGGGGGGAGGGTCATGTTAGGCTCGAAAAAGGTCATGGCAGGCAGAAGGTAGGAGCAGTTAAATGCCAGGGAGAGCAGAGGAGAGGACAGAGACAGGAGCAGAGGGGAGGCCAAGGCTGGCACTCACATGGGGGTAGAGTGGGAAGTGAAGATTCCTTCGGAGCTGCTGGATGGAGCTTCCACACCAATCTTCAAACACATGCAAGTTGGCACGGCCCTGGAACTGTAAGGAGCAAGTGAGGGTAAGGGGGAGGTGCTTCCTCTGATATCACCCCTCTACAGTTCTGAGAAGTAGTCCCATGTCTGCCTCGGGACACTCAGCAGGCAGCCCCGTGTTGGATCAATGCAGCCAGTGGGAAGGGACTGCTGTGCTATGTTTCTGTCACCTTTGGGAACAGCACCTTCTCAGAAGCCAACATTCATGCCCATATTCTGGGCCACTAAGGGAGATTGTGCCTGACACTCAAGCTCTGTCACCCTGACTCTTCCATGCCAGAAAAGCATCTGGCCCTGAGCTCCCAAGGGCAGTGGTACCATTCTCAAATGGTATCAGTAACAGCAGAAGGCCTCAGACGAGCCGGAAGGAGGAAATCCAAGAACAAAGGCCAAGCTGGGTTTCATTTAAGTTCCTGATCTCTTCTTCCCTCCCTTCTCCTGCTGCTCCATGAACAGAGCTCCACAGCTGTCTGCTGGTGAAACCTTATCCATCCTGGTCTTCATGCTCCCAACTCACTACTGTGGGAAGCAGCTGCAAAAATTCTGCAAGGAGGAATCTGGGGACCTCATGATTGGGGGGGGAAGGGGAGCAAACCACATCACAAAAGCATTTGCTCCCGACCCCTTCTACTGATTCTGTCCCTAAGTCTCTAAGTCGTCCTACTCAGATCTGCCCATGGTTATACCCATATGAATGTGGAAAAACTTCAACTTCCCTGGGCAAAGGGAAACCATAAAGCCAACAGAAGTAGAGAGACTATAGCTCTTTCCTCCCTCCTCTGGGTATCAGACCTGCTGCCTGAGTGGCAGATAGGACCTGGAGTCAGGTTACCATTAGGAGGACACACCTCAGGGACTGATGATGCTTGGATCACATAACCACATTCTTACAGCCAGTGGGAGGGCTTGTGGGGGAGGGGGAGAGACAGGGAAAGCCTGGCTTTATTGACCCCCTGACAAAGAGTTTCAGTTTACACCATCCCAGGCTCCTCACTCCCACCTAAGCCTGATCTCCAGACTGGGGGTGGTAGGGATGCAGATAAGGCTTCACTCCTTATCTGCTGGACTCATGAGATATGTAAATCACCCAGGATAACCTCCATGAGACCTTTGTTTGATTTCTTGGGCAGAAGAAAGTAGTGAAGGTAGCTGAGATCAGAGCCCCAAATAGAAGTAGGTGGCACAAAGCCTGTAGTGCTGAGAGATCCCAGGGGCTAGGACGGAGGGGGAATGAGGATGAGGAATGGAGGGGGGTGACGGAGGGAGGGCAAGCTCCTAGATGTGGGTAACAAAGAGAAGAAAGTATCTAGGAGGGTGGAGAAGGACTGAGAACCATGACTGAGCGACTTAGCTCAGCCCCATGAGAAATACCACCCTGAAGCAGGAGACACCAACTGTTCTGTTAACTCCAGAACTTCTTGGGTATTTCAAAACTTTAGTAAGTTCAGGGGTTCTTATCTTGGAGTCTGTGAACTTGTTGTTCTAGAGATTTGTTTTTTTTTTAATATAATTGTTTCAATATAATTGGTTTCAACATATTGAATTTTTTTCAACGTAATTAACTTTGTAATCTTATGTATTTGATTTTATGCGTTAAAAAGGGCATCTGAGAAGGGAGTTGTAGACTTTACTAGATAGCCAAAGAGGTCCATAATACAAAAAAGGTTAAGAACCCCTGCTTTAATGAGTCCGTGACCTCCCTTCAAAGAGCACTCCAGACACCAATGCAGATCTGATCCAGTTTGTGCCTTTTCATCCTGTATAATTCTTGTTCATGTCCTTCCATAAATCTTTCCTAAGTTTACATTTATCCTGAGCTTTAAGATTTGCAAAGCATAGTCCAAACAACCCTGGGATGTAGGCAGAGCCATAACTAGGGTAGGACAACTAGAGCTTATGCTCCATTAGCATGACTTATATTCCTTCAGCAGCAATGATGTGACTGAGCTCAGCACATGGTTAGCCTGAATAATAAGTTAAAATAGAAAGCTATCAGATAGCTCTGGCTCCCCACCCCATATTAGGTTCCATAACCCAGGTGAGCTTCCTCATACTCATAGCAATGCAATGCCTCAATATCAATAGGCTTATGCCCATCGGTGCCAGTGTTCCAGGGTCCCTGTTCTTTCCACACCTGGCCCTCAAATGAATTTGTCTTTCAAAAAAAAAGTGGATCAAGAGTGCTTTTTGTTCTGTTTCCTCCAGGCACACGAAAATACTATTTTTGGCTCTGGAAATGTCTAATGCTGGCCTTATTACTCCATTTTATGGATGAGGATACTGAGTTTCAGACAAGAAAAGTGATTTATCCAGTCACACAACTCAGACCTATTGGATCTGAGTTATGCTAAATTTGGTCAATGCAAGGAATGTTGAGCCTTTAGAAGACATCATTATCCAGGGCATGTAAGTAAGGGGCAGAGTGGGTCAGGATGAGGGGGGAGGGGGGAGCAATTGGCTGGGAGACTCCAAGGAGAGGAAGAATGGGGACATTGTGCTATGTCTCAGAAGTTCCTTAAGCCAAGTTTGCAAGATTCCACTGTCTCCCCCAAGTGGCTTCATTGCTCCTTCCTGCTGAACTGCCTTCCCCTCCCAGCCCCCGACCCCCTGGGTGACTGGGTGACTTTAAGGGCAATGCTCCCTAAACCCACACACTTCCTGAGCTCCCCCAAAGGACTACTACCCAGAGAGTTCAGTCTGGCTCATAGGTAAGACATTCTTACCATTGGTGGATTGAATAGTTTTGATTCAGGGGGAGGGGGCTGGCTCCTTCCAAGGGGAGACAGATATTGGGGGAAGGAGCAGAAGGGGTAGCCTGGGGAGGGGAAGGAGGAGGCAGAAAGATGCAACCACCCCCCCCCCCGGAGGACTTGAGTCTACAGGGAATTTCTGTTTCCAGCGTTTTGAGAAGAGACGCAATCCCAGGGCTTTTAACGTTTGAGTAGCACCACTCTTAGAACTTTATCAAAGTCTGACTAGCCCCAGAAATGGACCATAACCGACTATTTATGAGTCCTTCAGCTAACAGCCTTGTCCTGTTCTCCAGTTCTGGGTCTGACAAGCTTCTCTCACCATTCCATTTCTGATACGTATAATGCAATATTTCACAGCACTCTTTATCTGGAAAGGGGTGAAGGATACTGCCAAATCAGCATGGCTGATGGAAAGACAATGGGAAGAAAAGTAGGAATGATTCTCTCCAATATACCAAAAAGATAACAAAGACCTGGAAAACAGCACTGATTCCTCCAATAATTCAACATTTTTATTGCGTGTTTAAAAGTTTGCTTTCCTCAAAACCATTTTGTGAAGGAAGGAGTGCAAGTTACCCCATTCCCATTTAATAAATGAGGAAACTGAAAATCAGAATGGTGAACCAACTTGGCAATGGTAAACTAGCTTATAAGGCAGCTGGAGGCACGGGGATAAAATGCTGGGACCTGAGTTCAAATGTAGCCTCAGTTATTTACTAGCTTTGTGACCCTGAGGACTCTGATTCTCAGTTTCTTCAACTGTAAAATGGGATAATAATAGCAACTACCTCCCAGGATTGTTGTGAGGATCAAGTGAAATAATATTTGTAAAAAAGCACTTAGCACAGTGCCTGACCCATAGTAGGTGCTATATAAATGCTAACTATAATGATGGCAGTGATGATGTATGAGAATAGATTTTTGAACTCAAGGCTCCTGCCTGCAAGCTGGGGTTCTTTCCATTATACCATACTTTCTAGCACAAAGTGCATCTTTGGCAGGAACAAAAAAACCATAGAATTTTGTACCCATTTAAATCAGCATAAGTAAGTAGATAGAATCTTCAGGCTCATCAAGTTTGGATTAAACAAACCTTTCTATCATTAACGTTAGGTGGACAAATAGTCACTCCAGTATCACTTATCAGGTAGCCGCCTTCCTCTGACCCTGACTGAATAGCCTCTTCTGTTTTTGGTGGCATCTGTGGGTACACAAGAGACTCCCTTCTTTGGACCCAAATTTCATCATCTGTTACAACAGGAGGGGATTTTGACTTCTAAGGTCCCTACCTTCTCTGATTCTATATGATCCTAGAAGAGTCCAGCTTTCCCTAAAGGAGAGGTGCCTCATTGCCTATCACATAGCTCTGAGTGTTCAAAGGTTCTTATTTCTTCTCTTTATCACATTATTCCACCCTTCAACCAGCTGACCCAAACTAAGATTCCCTTCCTCCCCTTGAGATCTTTTCTCTATATTTTTCCTTTGAAGTACTCTTATTAGGACCACTTAATTCTCCCTGATAACCTGAAGAGAAACAGATGATGTTCCTCTTCTGGCATTCTTAATCTGGGGTCTGTGAATTTAAAAAAAAAATATTTTGATAACTGTATTTCAACACAATTTTATTTTCTGCATTTAAAAACAATACTCTGAGAAGGGGTCCACAGGTGAAGTCTGCCAAAGGGGTCCACTGTACAATGAAGGTTAAGATCCTCCAATCTAGTTCTTGTACCTTCTCCTCCAGAAAGGACACGGACACTTTGTATCTAGACACATTGTGATTCCCGGCTGGTATTTGAGAACCAAATCTGCCATGGAGGTCAAATTAAGGCAAGAGTATACTGGCAAATGTTTAACAACTGGTTCTCTGCAAGAAAATGGCGTGCAGTGTACACAGAACACACTTCAAATTTGCATTGTTAACATTTTCTCTATCATTTTTTAAAATAGAGGCAATCAACAAAACACAAAAGTTCACCTTGATTTGCAGACGCTGAGGTGTAAAAGAAAATTTAACAATCAGCTCTGGTTGGAGCTGACTCCAACACACTCTTTGATCTAGGCATGGGAAGGGAAGCAGTAAAGGAAAGACGTTGTTGTTCCCTTTAGAAGCCTCTATCCTCCTTTGCTTTTTCAGGTGAACATAGTCATTTACTACTAAAACTACAACACAAAAGGAACAAGGCAGTCTGAACCACTGGACCAGCCCAAGTTGAATCAGGCCTGGTCCGAACCAACATGAGAACATTTTACC